CTGTCCTCCTGTGTCCTCCTGTATCTTCCTGTATCCTCCTGTGCCCTCCTGCATCCTCCTCCCCTGGAAGCGTTTGTTCCTTGGGACAGCTGCTAACATCCATCAAACCAGGAGCTTCTTCAAGGAGGGATTTGTCCCCTTGGTCCTACATCCTCGGCATATAGCACAGTGTCCTACAGAGGAGGCAGCCAGTACGTGTGCAGTTTACAAAGGAGGGACGTAAGCTCAGCCCTCTGTGCCACAGCTGCAGCCTGTTGTTCATTGAGTATTTTTGAGCTGTGTGAAGGGAAGGATTAGGGCTTGGCTTTGCTTTAATTCAGGACTTTGATTCCATGAAGGGAAATCCTTTCTTTGTAATGGGTATTTTTTTCCTTCTTAGCTTCAGAAATGGAGCAGTTAAGAATCAGCCCTGCTACCATGCTTGAGGATGAGATTACTTGGTTAGATAACTTCGAACCTAATCGCACAGCCGAGTGTGAGACCAGCGAAGCAGACAACATCTTACTGGCAGGACATTTGCGGCTCATTAAGACCCTCCTTTCACTCTGTGGGGCAGAAAAGGAAATGCTGGGTAATTATCGCTTCATCTTGTCGGGGGCAGTGCCTCAGTTACTGCTGTAACTGTCACGTGTAATTGGGACAGCAAGACAGGTGCCAAGTGGTCTGTGGAAAATTGACCCTTCAGGTAGCAAGAAATTGTCTAGAATTTCAGTGGCTAACTAACTTAAGGTGTATCTTACCTGTGTCTGTAGTGTTCAGAACAGTTGGATCACATAACTTCTTAATATCCCATAAGAATTAGAATTTGACGTAGGTTTTCCTTTTTAGCTGTTACGTGCATTAGTATATATAATCTGTTGTATATCTTCTATAAAAGGTGATTCTCATCTAGGGAGGCTGCCCCTAACCACTACTCCCTGGTGGTAGGATACATATGAGATTCTCCTGGGGTAATTAACTGTCACTTTTCTTTTTTTTTTTTTTGGAGAGACAGAGTCTCACTCTATCGCCCTGGGTAGAGTGCTGTGGCATCATCATAGCTCACAGCAACCTCTAACTCTTGGGCTCAAGTGATCCACTTGCCTCACCCTCCCAAGTAGCCAGGACTATAGATATCTGCCACAATCCCTAGCTAGTCACTTTTTTCCTATTTTTAGTAGAGACAAGGTCTGACTCTTTGCTGAGGCTGGTCTTGAGCTCTTGAGCTCAAGCAATCCACCCACCTCAGTCTCTCAGAGTGCTAGGATTACAGGTGTGAGCCACCATGCCCAGCCTAACTGTCTCTTTTATAACACAAACTAAGCTCTACAAAATCTTCTTGGCTACTGGGGATACATAGAAAAGAGTGATTTTTAACAAGGGAGAAAAAGACATAATCATTTTTACTTAAAGAAGGCAATATTGTAAAAGTTTCAAAAACCCTTGTGTGGACTCCACTATGCTCAGAATAAGAATCATTCTCAAGCACTTCTGCCTTGAGATGTTCTTGGCTTTTATCTAAAGTGAATTTTTTTTGTTTTGTTTTGTTTTGTTTTGAGACAAGAATTTCACTTTTTTGGCCTGGGTAGAAATACCATGGTGTGATAGCTCATAACAACCTTAGACTCCTGGGCTTGAGTGATTCTCTTGCCTCAGCCTTGTGAGTAGCTGAGACTGCAGGCACCTGCCACAACACCCAGCTAATTCTTAGAGACGGGGTCTCGCTCTTGCTCAGGCTGGTCTTAAACTCGTGAGCTCAAGCAGTCCACCCGCCTCAGTGTCCCAGAGTGCTGGGGTTCCAGGCGTGGGCTGCCGCCCCAGCTAAAGTAGATTTTGGTGCCTTTCCCTGTAGTGCAGGCTCATGAAGGGAGGCACTTGTTTCACTTGTGTTTGTGTCCCCTCCTGGGACCCTCCCACTCATCCCCACCCTCCACCCCACAGAGCTTTGCCATGTAAGCACTCAAGAAATAAGGATTAAACTAAATGCCCAGATAGGGAAGTGCATGACAGGATCTTTGAATTAAAATATGTGTTCATCTTCAATGTGAATATTATGCTCTATTCCAGGTTCATCACTCATTAAACCATTGTTAGATGACTTCCTTTTCCGAGCTTCTAGAATTATTTTAAATAGTCATTCTCCAGCTGGCAGTGCCGCCATCAGTCAACAGGACTTTCATCCAAAGTATGGAAAATGCACCTTGTGTTCAGTTTTGGTAAAAATTCTAATTCGAAACTTTAGTCTAAAAAGATTTTTCTTGGAGTTTATCTTCTATCTTTGAGACTTTGTGCCCTACAAGATATTATCCACTGTGTAAAGAGGCTGAACAGAAAGCCTGCCTGACACACAGCAAGCGTGGAGCGAGCGTGCTGGCCCCGCTATTATCAGAGTGGAGGAAGAATCAGTAATGTGCTGCTCACTTGGTCAGTCACAAATTCCAGGAGAAACCAAGGTTGTAAGAATTATGTACAAGTAAAAGTAACAAGCTCGCAGTAAAATCTTGAGGGTTTCTTAGGAGAAAAAGATAGGTGCCTTAGTGTATGAACCTGCCACAGTTTGCTGAGTGTTGACTGCGTCTTGAGATTTATGGCAGTAGTAATTGTGGAATTAAATTTTATGTCAAGTTTTTTGGGTACAAATTGGAAAAATCTCTTTTTAACTTGACCGTACTTGAGTGGGATTTATCCTCTCAGAGGTGGAGCAGGCCACGACCAGCCATCTCATTTGCTCTGAATCTAGTTTACTTTCTCCTTTTCTCATGAAAACCAGAGTTAATTGAGTGATCCTGAAGGAACTGAGGATTTGGCATTTACAGTAAAAAAAAAGTCTTATATATTTTCAGTGGTTATTGAAATGGTCAAGCCATAATAAGCAATGCTTTGTGGAATCCTGAGAGGTATCTTATCACGTATAAATGTTTCTCTATCTAGAGATTCCAGATTTTTATTAGCAAAATCTGTTCTAGGTTATTAAAAAAACATCTTCATTAGATCCACCCCTAAGGGATTACCCCCCTCTCACCCTGCCCCCGTCTTGTTTTAGAAGATTCGGTGCTAGGTCCAGGGGAATCTCTTTTAAAGTGGCAGAAATATGTGAACATTTTGATTTTCAGTAAACAATAAAAAATCTTTAGCAGCTTTAATTTTATTACAAATAATACCTCCATAACTCAGGAGTGTCCTTTTAAAATCCTGAATGGAATGATGCCCTGAATGGAATACAGTTGTTTTGTCACCGCAGTACACTGAATGGTGCCAGTTACCCCAGTGACGCTCAGCCTCTTCCCACCATAACCTTAAACAAGAAAGAGATTTACCCTACCCAGAAACTCACTTCAGAAGTAATGCTGTTCTCACATCACAGTAACAAAACAACTTCTTCACGGCCAGCCTGTGTGTCTGGTACCTCCCTGTTCGTTTCTTGCCTGTCCTTTGCAACCCATAAGTCCAGACAGGAAGCAAAGGCTGCTGCCAGCTCCAGGGCCACGGTCTTTGGTGCCTGGGCAGTGCTGACCCAAGGGCCCTGCAGCCCCCTCTTGAATGCCTTCTCCACTCCCTGAGGCTTTGTTCAGAGGCTGTGTGTCCTCTCTTCTCTGTCTCCTTCCTAAACTGTGATCCCCTCGGTGATGCAAGGTTGGCGTAGGTTTCCCTGAGGAGTTACCGTCCATTTCCAGAGTGCTTCTACTAAAGGGCAGGCAGTACAGGCAGCCTTTGGTTTCCTGCAGAATGCTTGCTAGAGACCTTTTAAGAGCTGCTTTCTGTGCATCACCATCCTAATCCTGCTCTCACCAGGAAGTGTGATGTAAGTTTTATAAACCTTGATGCACTTTCGTTGTTGTTTTTTTTTAGAATGCTCTCTTAATCATGTAACTTTAATATGACTGTGTCTGCATTATTCCAAGCACAAAGAGAGTCAGTATTATATTATTATTGCTTTTAGTTAATTCACTTAGCAAACTAGGTATTTCTACCTCCATTTTTTTCCAGCTAAGTGAAAAGTTGATTAATGATCTTGAAGAATTTTTGGTCTTCAGGCACGTAAAGTGATTTACATAGCTTTCCTTTTCTGCCAATTAGATATTCAAATTTTAGGATGATGGCTATAAAATCTTTCTCCCTAGCTATTTTAATTGGAAGATAATTTTTCTCCTCTACTCTTGCGAATCCCATTCCTTAGATGAGAGTCATAAGTGAAAGAATTTTGCTACTTTATCATCAGGTCAAGTAGGTTTTTAGCTCTAAGCCATATTCATCCCTCCGATATTCATAACCTCTAGGTCACTAGATTTCTCTGAGTTTAGACCTAACTTAAATTATGTTTGAGGAATTGCTGCTGTTATACTTTCATTTCAAATGTTGGTTCAAATGTTGTAATGAGCAGTTTAAGTGGATCATTGATTGTGTCTTTGTTTTTAGGTGTAGTACAGTGAATAGCCGATTGGCAGCCTACGAAGTCCTTGTAATGTTGGCTGATAGTTCACCTTCAAATCTTCAAATTATTATAAAAGAGTTACTTTCTATGCATCATCAGCCTGATCCTGCTCTCACCAAGGAGTTTGATGTAAGTTTTTTTTTTTTTTTTTTTTTGAGACAGAGCCTCAAGCTGTCCCCCTGGGTAGAGTGCCATGGCATTACAGCTCACAGCAACCTCCAACTCCTGGGCTCAAGCGAGTCTCCTGCCTCCGCCTCCCAAGTAGCTGGGACCACAGGCGCCCGTCACAACGCCCGGCTATTTTTTGGTTGCAGCCATCACTGTTGTTTGGTGGGTCCGGGCTGGGGATTCGAACCCGCCACCTTAGGTGTACGTGGCTGGCGCCTTAGCCGGTTGAGCTATAGGCGCCGAGCCTTGATGTAAGTTTTGTAAACCTTGATGCACTTCAGTTTTCTAGAATGATCTCTCAAACATACAGCTTTAATAAGATGGTGTTTGCATTACACCAACCACAGAAGAGTCAGTATTACATTATTCTTTTGCATACTGTGTTCACATACACAAATCAATTATAAATCATAATATTACTCTAATTTGATTTGCATTTCTTGGGGATATGTCACCAAATGGCACCCTTTTCGTTAAAGAAGAGAGTCATTTTCAGGTTTGTTGATAGTTATTCCAAACTGTGTCTTGAGTAACTTTATTCTTGGCATAGTGCTAGGCATGAAAGATACAAAGTCAGGTAAACACTGGCTCTGCCAGGGCACAGTCTGTGTTTAGTTAAATTCAACCAAGCTGTATTGAGTATGTAATGTGGTAGGCTTTTGGAGCTCAAAAATGAAAACATGATCTCGGCCCTCAAGGAGGTCAGTGTATAGTGGGAGAGGCTGACCCACAAGCGGATAACTTCAGTGTAATGTGACCCAGCGTAAGACAGAGGTATGTCCTGATTGTTCCACACAGAGGCACGTCACTGGTAGTGTCTTAGAAGGCGTCCTAGAGAAGATGAAATTTAAAATAGAGCCTACAGATGAGTGAGCCAGTTGAAGCAAGGTAGGAAATTGATTCCGTTCCAGCAGTGAGAAGAATAGAAGCAATGCTGTGGAACCAAGAGACAGCTTAGCTCTATGAGAGGGAAATAGGTCGCAGGCGTACCAGGCCAGCCCGGAGCAGAAGGACACTTTCAGAGCTGCTTTGTGATCTCCCTAACATCACAGATAGTCAGACTTACCCTTTGGCTGCCTTGAGTGTTATGGAACATACAAGGCAGGAAATGAAGTGGGGATGGCTGTCCTAGATAGAGGAAATAGCCCTTGCAGACAATCAGCAATGTGAGAGCAAGCGAATTGGAAACTGTTTGACTTACCCAGCAGGTAGTTTATGATGCTTTAGTTTGCAGTACTTATTTTATGCTGCGTTTTAGTTTTATATGCATTTATTTAATAATCAGATCTAAATGAATATTTTATGTTTTTTTCAGAAGTCAAGAATATTTCTTAGTCATGAAAATATTTGTGTTAGATAAATACTAATATTTTTAGCACTATTATGAACCAGCGTTTTTAATCTTGTACCATTTTTTTTTATTGTTTGGGATTCATTGAGGGTACAAAGAATTAGGCTACACTGATCGCATTTGTTAGGTAAAGTCCCTCTTGTAGTTGCGTCCCAACCCCAAAAGGTGTGCCATACGCCGTATCCCCCCAGCCCTTCCCTCCTCCCCTCTTCCTGCTCCCTCATTCCCTTACCCCCCACCTTGTATTAGACCATCTGCTGCCTTCATATTAGAATTGATGCTTCTCCATTCTTATAATGCTTTACTAAGAAGAATGTGTTTCACCCCAATCCAGGCTAATACAAAAAATGTAAAGTCTCCATCTTTTTTAGTGGCTGAATAGTATTCCATGGTCTACATATACCACAGCTTGTTAATCCATTCCTGGGTTGGTGGGCATTGAGGTTGTTTCCACAATTTGGCAATTATAAATTGAGCTGTGATGAACAACATCCTATGATAAAATGATTTTTTTTCTTCTGGGTAGATGCCTAGCAATGGGATTGCAGGATCAAATGGTAGGTCTAATTTGAGTTCTTTGAGGGTTCTCCATACTTCCTTCCAAAAAGGTTGTATTAGTTTGCAGTCCCACCAGCAGTGTAAAAGTGTTCCCTTCTCTCCGTACCAGTGCCAGCATCTGCAGCTTTGAGACTTTGTAATGTGGGGGGGAGGGCATTCCTTACTGGAGTTAGGTGATATCTCAGGATTTTTTTTTTTTTAAGAGATAGAGTCTCACTCTGTCGCCCTTGGTAAAGTACTCTGGCATCACAGCTCACATCAACCTCCAGCTCTTGGGCTTAGGCGATTCTCTCACCTCAGCCTCCGAAGTAGCTGAGACTACAGGTGCCCGCCACAACACCCAGCTATTTTTTGTTGCAGTTTGGCTCAAGCGAGGCTCAAACCAGCTACCCTGGGTATGTGGGGCTGGCACCCTATTCACTGAGCCACAGGCGCCGCCCCTCAGAGTGGTTTTGATTTGCATTTCTCTGATGATTAGAACACCATTCTTTTTTAAAACATCTATTCTTTGGAATACAAATTTTAGTGGAAATTTGATCTTAGAAATCATCCTACTCTACGTTTATGTTTTTTGCTCATGAAAAGTAATTTTATTTAACAATTCCTCAAGGTGTGGAAGACCTACAGGTTTGTTTTTTCAGCTAGTTTGCTATTAAATGGACAGAAATACTTCCTATGTACAGATAATACGATTCTCACCATAGTATAAGAACCATGTTTCTGTTGTACAAATATTTCAGAGCGTCTGATTACAATATCCTTTTCCACTTGGAGAAGTGCCATGTTGAACTTTATCCAAGATACCTCTTCAGAATTGCTTCTTCCAAAATAGCACTGTAATGGTGTCTGTATTTCAAAGCATGTATAAGTGAAATTGCAGGGTATTCCCCTGTTTATCTAATTGTATGCTCACTAGAAGAAGGTTACCTTCTCTGAAAGGGGGAGAATGAGTGTGAGTCTTCCTTGACCATCCAGACCAGTCACGCTTCTACACTGGACTTCACAGAACCCTGCTCCATTTTTTCAGAGTACTCCCTCATTCTGTAAATATATGTTAGTACATGTGTTTAATTAATGCCCTCCTAAACTGTGTGCTCCTTGAGATCAGGGACTATGTGCATTTCTGTTCTCTCTCATATCCTTGCCACAGTGCCTGGCACATAATAGGTCCTCACCTCAATAAATATTTGAAATATTTGTTGAATAATGACAAATATGTACCTCCTGTGTGCCCAGTGTTTTATGAATGAACAGAAACACTGAGGTCGTGGTGTGTTTATAACTGTGTTGGCATCGCAGAAGTCCCTGGTGAACATGAGTTTTGCTGGCATGTCTTTCAAAGCACACTGAACAGACAGGTCTGTGCCTGTGTATCTTTTCCCTCTTAGACATCCCAGCAGGGGTAGGGGAAATGTGCCTGTGCAGAGATACTTACTAATTCTCTTCCTATTCCTCTCTTTCCAGTACCTCCCCCCAGTGGACAGCAGGTCCAGTTCGGGGTTTGTGGGGCTGAGGAACGGTGGTGCCACGTGCTACATGAACGCGGTCTTCCAGCAGCTGTACATGCAGCCCGGGCTCCCTGAGGTGATTTCCTTCCTCTGTCCTGTTGGGTGTGAGAGAGATACGCATTGCCTGGGAATTATTACATACTTTTTTATTGCTTTTAGGGTTTTCTAAAACTAGACCTACAGTATAACTAGGGATTCTTTAGTAGCTAGCTTCTGAAACTTCTTAGACAAGTTGTTCATAGTCACATATGTTTTATAAATCTACTGCTGGAATGAGCTGCCTCTTACAGATGGACTTGACCTATATCATTTTTGAAGTCCAGACTTATTCTCAAATAAAATTACTAACATTTTTAGTGCTTTAGAAAGAGATAGGCGCTATCATCAATGTATGGTAATATAGCAGTGACTGATGGCAATCGTTTTGAGAGTATTCCATGTGTTGCACTTATTTTTTGTAGAGATCCGGGTGTTACTAGACTAGTTTGGGATAATCAGACAGAGGCTCACAGACACCATCTCCCAGTGACACCAGCTGGCAAACACTGAAGCTACCATCTGTGTAGTTGTAGCCACATCCAGACGTACATGGTGTTCTGGAAAAAGCAGCACGGCACTCTGGTGGACGTGAGTCAGGGTTTCCTGGGAAGCACTAAATGTTTCTGACATGCTACGTTTCTGTTCTTTGTAGGCATTGCTTTCCGTAGATGACGACACGGATAACCCAGACGATAGCGTGTTTTACCAAGTGCAGTCTCTCTTTGGGCATTTGATGGAGAGCAAGCTGCAGTATTATGTGCCTGAGAACTTTTGGAAGGTATCTCATCCAGGAATTCTCCACACTTAAAGACGTCAGATACTCGGAGTTGGGCTCCTGGTTTTCCTAGTGATAAGGTTTCTTGAGTTTATTAACTCTGGACGGCTAAAGGATGGGGCATCCTGTTCTTCTTGCAGTTCTTCTTGATCTTATGACTTTAATCTTGAGAATAGTTATTCAGTTCTTGGAGATTTTCTAATCTTAATTGTTTTCAATATTTTCATAATTCTTACCTTAGCTCTTTGAAATATTTGTTCACCTCATTCCTCTGAACCTGTGCCAAGTTCACTAATCCCTTTAAATAGCATTATTTGTAAACATAACTTTACTGTGTTTCATGGAATACCTTATGTTTTTCTCCAAAGGTTGGTTAGTTTCTAAGGGAAAAACTCTTCTTTTCCAAGACCGTAGCTCTCACCTTGCTCTCACCTCTGGGTTCAGAGACTTATGATCACAGGGGGACCAGGGAATGCATGGAGGACAGCATGTCAGCTAACACACTTGCTAACAGCAAACTTGATTTTTAGAAGCACTTAAGTACTTTTCACATTCACTTTTCAACATTGAAAAATTGTTACTTTTCCTTTAAAAACATGTTTAATTTTTGTTCTGTAGATTTTCAAGATGTGGAACAAAGAGCTTTATGTGAGAGAGCAGCAGGATGCATATGAATTCTTCACAAGCCTCATCGATCAGATGGATGAGTATCTCAAGGTGGGGAGAGTTTTCCTTTCCCTCTGACGCTCTCAGATTTTACTAACAGTATCTTAGGAGTGGGGGTTACTGTGAAGTGACAAATCAGTAATTGATTATCTTTCACAACACAACTGGAATTCATTTCTTCTGGGTTTAAACATGGACCACTACAATTGTATATTTCTTTTCTAAATTCATCTAACATTTGATCAAGTGTGTAATTCTTTATCTGCGCTACGTAATAATAACAATAATCCTTTGTACCCACATATCCATTGAAGGGCTGCTTCACTGCAGCTAGAGGGCTTCCGCCACCAGTGAGCAAGCGGATGGCCAGATGCAGGGAGTCCTCTGGCAAAGGGGTCAAAGGGACCAGATTAAAAAGTTATTAGTGGGCTCAGCACCAGTAGCACAGTGGGTACAGCGTCAGCCACATACATCGAGGCTGGCGGGTTCTAAACCCAGTCCGGGCCAACTAAAACAACAGTGGCAACTGCAACAAAAAATAGCCAGGCATTGTGGCAGGCATCTGTAGTCCCAGCTACTTGGGAGGATGAGACAAGAGAATCACTGAAGCCCAAGAGTTTGAGGTTGCTGTGAGCTATGACGCCACAGCACTCTATCAAGGGTGACGTAGTGAGACTCTGTCTCAAAAAAAAAAAGTTATTAGTGGTGCTGTTTAATCCCAATGCCTCTCCCTCACTCTGGTGAAACACGCGGCCAGCTCTCTCAGTGGCCAACGCCTCTGGCTCTCCCTCTCTCTGGTAAAACATGCAGCCAGCTCTCTCAGTGGCCTTGCCTTCCAGGATTGCCTGTCACCACGTCAGCGTTGGCCTCTCATCCAGAGACATGTTTCCCTGTTCTTAAAATAAGTTACGGATTTGTAGCATCTGTCTGCAAGAAAAAAGAATGTAGGTGTAGAGAGTTGCTACTAGCGTGGTGACTGAGGCACAGGGAGAAGACTCGGAGCCGTCGCGGAGACTCTCATCATCAGCTCTGCCTCTTTCTTCCTGCGCTTTGGATTGTTTGACCACTGGCCATGGGTCTGTTAATGGGCCATGAACCCCCATTTGTCGGTGGTGAAACTGCCAAAAGACTAATTTTGTTTTGGTGGTTAAACTGAAGTCTGTGTTTTAGCTTAGGCCTAAATAAATTTCTTTGTACCTCTAAGTTCTAGGGGCATCTACTAAAATTTCAACTTTTCCTTCCAACAGAAAATGGGAAGAGACCAAATTTTTAAGAATACTTTTCAGGGCATTTATTCTGACCAGAAGATCTGTAAAGACTGTCCTCACAGGTTAGTGCAGACATCACTGACACAAAAAAGAAAGTAATCACGTTTGAATGATTTTTCTATGATGTGTGAATTTTACATTTGTTGAGAGTGTTAGAAATCTGTCTGTCAGGCTTGGCGCCTGTAGCTTCAGCAGCTAGGGTGCCAGCCACAAACACCAGAGCTGGCGGGTTCAGATCCAGCCCAGGCCTACCAAACAACAAGACCACTGCAAACAAACAAAAAAAAAAAGGGCCAGGTGTTGTGGCAGGCACCTGTGGTCCCAGCTACTTGGGAGGCTGAGGCAAGAGAATTGCTTAAGCCCAAGTGTTCAAGGTTGCTGTGAGCTATGATGCTACAGCACTCTACCCAGGGCGACATAGTAAGACTCTGTGTCCCAAAAAAAAAAAAAAATCAATGGATCTGTAAATATTTAATGAATGAAATTTCTCTGGTTTCTATTCCCAAAATTCTATTATAGTCTTAAGAAAATATTTGTTGAAGTTTATAATTTTAATCAATTCTAAATTGTTACAGTTTGGTGTTTTTACTTGGAATGTACTTTTTAAAGGTTGAGGGAAAGCAGGTGTTAATTTCACAATTAAGAATGTGGGTCTCTGTTCAAGCTCAGGTAATACCGTAATTTCAAGAGTTTTTAATTTCTTCGTTGATGACAGGTTTTCTGTTCTTTCCAATCAGGTATGAACGTGAGGAAGCTTTCATGGCTCTCAATCTAGGAGTTACTTCTTGTCAGAGTTTGGAAATTTCTCTGGACCAGTTTGTTAGAGGAGAAGTTCTGGAGGGAAGTAATGCATACTACTGTGAAAAGTGTAAAGAAAAGGTATCGTGTTTGGCCTTTCTCAAAAAACGAGATTAATCTGTTATTCACATAGTGCGTCTTTGTTTCATGTAAAGTCAGTATCGAGCTCCTGTTGGTACTTGCATTAGATGGTGTAATTACTTGCTTTGCGTGGGTAGGAAAGGCTTTTGCGTTAATTACTTTGCTGTTTTATTTCCTTCATAGAGATAATTGGGTTTTTTGCTTTTCTGTAGAGAATAACGGTGAAAAGAACCTGTATTAAGTCTTTACCTAGTGTCCTGGTAATTCACCTAATGAGATTCGGATTTGACTGGGAGAGTGGACGCTCCATTAAATATGATGAACAAATAAGGGTAACATTTTTTCTTCTTAGAATTATTCACAGACGTTACTTCACACACTTCTTCTTTTTTCCTGCTTCTGTTTTCAAATTCATCTACCACGTGAAAGGGTGCGGGCTTAGTGTTCTAAGGGGCGCATAGCCCCACCTTCAGTAGCTGCTGATAGAAGAGGCAGGTCTGTGAACAGCCGTCCTCATTTCCAGAAGTCCATTATCCTAGTGATCTGTGGGAGAGAAAATGCTTCCCTCAAGGCTCAAACCAGAGACTACTTACGGTCTCCCAGACTTGGCCTTTGCGTGATTCCATATCTGAATTAGAGAGGTAGTTATTACTAGCTTAAGTTAGGAGAGCACGTCCTGTTACTTGTCTCTGGCTTAATTAGGCACTGCTGTGTGTATCAGTCGTCCACATTAATGTGGTCTTCTTGCTTTTACACAGTTTCCTTGGATGCTGAACATGGAGCCTTATACAATGTCAGGAATGGCTCGCCTGGATTCATCTTCTGAAGTTGGTGAAAATGGGCGAAGTATGGATCAGGGAGGTGGAGGATCCCCACGAAAAAAAGTCGCCCTCACAGAAAATTATGAACTTGTCGGTGTCATTGTGCACAGTGGGCAGGCGCACGCGGGCCACTACTATTCCTTCATCAAGGACAGGCGGTAAGGGTTGCTCGAGGCTGTGCTCACTCCCTGTGCCCGGCCAGTGGCCTGAGCTCTGCTCTCCTACCTCCCTATCATCCGTACTTACCTTTATGATGCAAAGAAACTATTCTTGGATCTTCATGCTGAATTTTTAAAGCTTAGTATAACTTTTTTCCCCTTCAATTTATTTGAAAAGCTGCTTTAGAAATCGTAATAACTGTTACTACATTTTTCTTAAAGATTTCCAAATGGTACTTACCTGCTTTATTTCTAGACAATACTTAGAGACAAATGCTGGGCATGAGGATGTTTAGTTTTTAACCTTATAATGTTCGATCTCTGGGATCTAGGGGGTGCGGAAAAGGAAAGTGGTATAAATTTAATGACACGATTATAGAAGAATTTGACTTAAATGATGAGACCCTGGAGTATGAATGCTTTGGAGGAGAATACAGACCAAAAGTGTATGATCAAAGTAAGTATTTACAAATGGATATTTTTATTAGTTTTTTAAAATTTATAGTTTTCTATAAACTGGAAGATGTTTTCTTTACATAAAAATACAGTATATTTTATTCTTATAGTACTGCTGCTTTATAAAACCACAAACTCTTTGATAGCCAGAGTGAAGATGTTTAAGCTTTTTCTAAAAATCTTTAAATAATTGTTTGCAACAAGAATAATAGACATGAGAGACTCCAGAAAGTGGGAGGGTGGTGTGATAAAAAATTACCAGCTGGGTGCAGTGTATACTATTCAGGTGGTGAGAACATTGAAAGCCCAGATGTGACCACTGTACAGTAAGTATACCCAAGTAACAAAAATTGCATTTATACCCCCTAACTCTATGAAAATCAAAATTTTAAAAATTTTCTTACAGTACCCTTGGGGGTTAAGTGACAAAGGAAGAATAAGTGGAAAAGATGAAATGAGTGTCAAAGAGAAGCTAATGAATAAAGAAATTTAACCGTGAAAATAGTTTCAGAAGAAGTGGTTGTCCACTAAAATTTATAAATTTCCCTTCCACTTATATAAGGAGTGATTAGAGAAGACATTTGTAACACCTGTGCTTTTAAAGCCACACTTGTTGTGTAGCAATGCAATCCTGTGCCCCCAGCTTCCACCCCAGGGGAGAATCACCAGGAATGGTACGTTAGGACACCCAGTTAGAATCTGCCATGTGAAAAGAACCATTTTGCAGAGACTTAGCATTTCTAAAAGGTGATTTTGAGATCTTCTAGGGGCCTTTCTAAATTCCTACCTGCACTGGATTCACTGTGTTAGATTTTGAACTGTGCCCTTATAGTTTCTCATAGTGCTCAATAACCTTCGTGGTCAATGTAACATCATTGCCAGAATTTACCTAGTTTTGGCTGGTCTTTGCAGAGATGCTTAAGTGTGGCCATCCTATGCTATGGAATACATTGTTAATGTTGCTTTGCTTTTGTGCCCTTTTACTTGAACTTGGACTTCTCTAGAATATTTACCCTTCTCTAGGATATTTACCATCTTGCCTCAGACCCTGCCCTGTCCTCCTAAATGAGGGATCTGTTTAGTCAAAGAACTGAAATGTCCATCCTGCCTTCTTTTCTAAGCAGTACTCTAGGAAGAGTCACATTTTGCTTACATTTTTCATTTAGCAAATTCAATAGTAGTTACTTGCTGGATTCATGGGCCCTTTGTTTTCAATCATTAAGGCAAGAAAACCTTTTTTATTTACAAAGACTTATTTCTCAATGTCTTGTTATAAAGCAAACCCGTACACTGATGTTCGCCGAAGATACTGGAATGCTTATATGCTCTTCTACCAAAGGGTGTCTGATCAGAACTCCCCGGTATTACCAAAGAAAAGTCGGGTCAGTGTCGTACGGCAGGAAGCTGAGGATCTCTCCCTGTAAGTGTTTCCTCCACGTAACACGCTGTGTGCTTTCAGTAGGTGATACTGTGATCTTTGAGAATACACTATTTGGAATTTAAAGATAATTAACTAAGCCAGACTGAAATTCTAAACAGTGCTCCAAAAGGAGAAAATACATACATGCCTTTTCTTGTTTCTTTTTGGCCATTATTTCCTATTTAGAAACATGCATGCAAGCTGTTTCACTCAGAGTTTTCAGTTTAGAATTGAGATCTTTTTTTATAAATTGGCAGCATTTATGGAATACACTTTATGTCCATAGCATACTATGCCAATACTCAGAATGTTGTATTTATAAAAGTCATGTTAGAAGTAAATTCACCTTTTAATATATTGGATCAGGAAAGTAGACAATTTATTTTTTTCACTTAAGAAATGTGATAAAATATGGTTTATTAAATTTGAAAACTTGGTTCAATACTTTGTTATAAGGCATTGAGTGTGTGTATCTAAGATCAGTTGATTTCACTCCTTTTTGATGGCTGTAAGGGCTGGAAAAAATACTTCACAGTAATGAGTAAGAAGAAATCATTTTGTGCTTATCGAATTATGGTACTCAGCTTTAAATCCCATATGCCAATTAAGTAAAAATTTGTGTTAAAATGTGCTCTATAGTTTTTCATCTTTCATAATTTAGTTCTCTAAATTATAAAGTGTTTATTTTTAAATTTTTTAATTACTGCCTTGTAATTGTACATATTTGTGGGGTCCAGTTTGATGTTTCAATACATGTATACATTGAATAATTATCAAAACATTTATTTTCAAGTCTAATGTCCTGTTTATGTGGGTTCAGCAAGTTTTAGTAACTCCTAAACCAACAGTTAGCTAAGTGTCCTGATTCTGTCTCTTGTAGGTCAGCTCCATCTTCACCAGAAATCTCACCTCAGTCCTCTCCTCGGCCTCATAGGCCTAACAATGATCGGCTGTCTATTCTAACCAAGCTGGTTAAAAAAGGTGAGAAGAAAGGACTGTTTGTGGAGAAAATGCCTGCTCGAATATACCAGGTAAGAACTATGTCACAAATTCTAAGTAGATGTCAAAATTTATCTCGCAGGTCCAGAAGAACTCCTGCACGGCCTCCTGGATGATCTGTACCTCTGGGGCCTTATCTTCCCCACCTTGCGCCCTGAATTTTTTTATGGCAGACCTCAGAGGTGGCCATGTAGCTAGTGCCAGAGTGCTAGAAGGTGAATGTAGCACACACTCGGGACTGACCAGCACTGTCAGTGACCCGCTGTGTGGTTATGTGACATCACAAACAGGGTGGTGGGAATAGGCAGCAAAGAAACTTACTTTATCTGGAGAGAAAAATAATTTAAGGCTCCTAAACTTTTAAGATTAATATGATGATGACCATTATTTCTCGCATACCTACTTTGTGCTGTGTGCATTAAACAAGTCTCTAGTTCTTAAAAGACTCTAGTGGAGTAGCAAGTTTTGTTCCCATTTTTCAGTTGGAAAAACTGAGATTCAGGTGAGAGAAATGACCTGTGAGTGTCACAGAGCAAGGATTTAAATCCAGAGGTGTCTGACTACCCAGTGCCAACTTCATACGCTACATAATACAAAGCTACATAGGTAGAGGCAGAGAATTTAAGACAAATACAGAGTCTTTCTTTAAAGAAAAGAGAATTAAGCCATCTGATGATACCAGGGAAAGGCGGAGTTGGTTGTATTTGGGAAAGTTCTGTTTGTCCCTTTCTGCCTGTAATATAGCAGGTTAGATAAAATTCACTTGCTCTTCACATGGTGGTTTTCCTGAATTTCCAAAATGGTTTGGTTTAATTGTTTATCTTTCTCATAGCATCTTATGTTTGAAAGGAAGGTTTTCTCCTTTTTCAAAGTTTAAAAGAAGGGAATTATAAGCCCTTTTTACCTAATTATGTCACTGGAGATGTCCTCTGTATTTTGGCTGTTTTACCCTGTTTCTTAAAAATAATTAGTAATTGTCTTTTGTAGATGGTGAGAGACGAGAACCTCAAGTTTATGAAGAACAGAGATGTGTACAGTAGCGATTACTTCAGCTTTGTTTTGTCTTTAGCATCGTTGAATGCCGTAAGTAGCTAGTGGGTCTGTAAGTAAAGAAATAAGAAAGGATTATAGTTACATATCTGTTAGCTGAAATATCCAGTGACTTGTCCTCACTCCCAGTTGTTACCATTCAGATTAAAGGGCAGGCGGCATCCAGAGTGTATGGTGTGTGGTGGGAGTGGGTGCAGTGTCCACATACTAGCCGTAAGTGCTCTCGTATGAGAGTGAGTAGCTGTGAGGTTGTGTCAATGAGGTGATTAATTTTTCTTCATTTGTTCCCATGTTTTACGGGACTCAAGATTGACTTCCAAGTACTTCTTGAGTGCCATGATTATAATTTGCCTATAAGGAAAAAATATTCTTAGTCTCTTGATTACTTAACATCCTGTGGTCTGAAGGCTCTATTTTGAGACGATTTCATAATAGAAGTGAAGAGGATGTCTTTTTTTTCTTTTTTGAGACAAGAGTCTTACCACGTCACCCTCTGTAGAGTGCTGTGATGTCACAACTCACAGCAACTTCCAACTCTTTAGGGCACCCTAGCTGTTTGAGCTATAGGCGCCAAGCCGATAGGCACCTTTTCTTTACCTTTTAGAAAAATGGAAATAAAACGGTTTTCATGATGAACTGGCTAAGATCGTTCTTCTTAGTATTTATCATGTGTCCTTATTGAGTTCATAGCAATGTTTAATAATCTATGGAACTTCTGTGTAAAAGATTCTCTTTTTTTCTTCCTGTGTCTTAGACTAAGTTAAAGCATCCATATTATCCCTGCATGGCAAAGGTGAGCTTACAGCTTGCTATTCAGTTCCTTTTTCAAACTTATCTACGGACAAAGAAAAAACTCAGGTGAGAAGTAGTGTATTTTGATAGTCTTTTGTAGCAAAAGGCACTGACTAATTCAAATTCCAAAATATCATGAAAGCAGATGACTGAACATGATCTCTACTTTAAAGAAACTTCTTACCTAATGGGAAGGATCGAGAAAAACCTGTGACGAGGCATAAATTCTGCATGTCTTTGGAAACTGAGCAAAATTGGATCCAGATACGGAGATTAATTAGGGTAGGGTTTAAAGACATTGATGTACTCAGAGGATTTTGAAAGGCAAAAATAGTGAAACACAGAGAAATAATTGTGGGCAAAAAGGGAAAACCTGAGTAACAGGTAAGACTTGTTTAGGGAGCCATGAACAAGTGGTCATGTTTGTGTAAGGGCCTCGTGAGAGCCGAGACTGAATGCGGGATGTGGAGCTCACTGAGTGCCAGTGCTGGGAGCTCGGGGTTTTTCATGGGAGATCAGTGAAGGTGAACTGGAAAGCGTGTTCAGAGTGATGCCTCAGAAGCTCTAGACACGACTCAGTCTTGCTCATTACTGGTTTTTATCTTCAGCACCTACCTGCTAAGGTGCCTGACACTTTATAGGTTCTGGGGAAGTAGATGTTCCGTGATAAATGAGTAATAATGGAGATCAGTTGAGCAGTGGTTTGTAAGGTGCCTGAGGGAGGTTAGGTTCAAGGTGAGATTAGTTAGATTAGAGGACGGCTGAGCAGTTTGGGGACAGATTTCGCAGTTAAGATCCTCTTGAAAAGAGAACAAATGTCAGCTTCATTTTTATTTGTAATAATCAAAGATACATTATTATTTGACTAAAAAAGAAGAAATAATGTGTTTCTTTACTATCTGGTAAAGGAAATTTAGTTGGTTACTTCTATCTGAAATTTGCTCATGCTGTGTACACAGTGCACACTGTTTCCCTTGGGCGTTGAGAGACTTAGGGAAGTGGTTGGAGGTTATGTGTAGTGCAGTCACTACACTTTTTTTCTGCCTGAATATTTTTATTCAGTAAAGTAGGATGTTAATGATTATTTCAGTAAAGTGTAAAACCGTCAGTGTAAGTTACTCTCAAAGTGGGCATTTGGTGAAGCACAACAAATTGCTGCAGGTCAGACCTTTTCTCCTACGGAGGTTGGTTGATGCAAATGCAGAAGATCAAGTGAAAGTCTAAGACTTGAGCGTCTTCACATTTTTTGTTGGGAGAGGGGAAGATGATTTATACCACAAGGAGCGAAGGAATGCAAAGCCTTGGCTTCTGGAGTGCATTGAGTTGAGCCATGTTAGTGGATGGTGGCTGAGCATTTCTTACCCTCCGTGCCACCCACCCTGGATGGAGGGTGGAGGATATTTCTTACCCCTCCGTGCCACCCACCCTGGATGGAGGGTGGAGGATATTTCTTACCCCTCAGTGCCACCCACCCTGGATGGAGGGTAGAGGATATTTCTTACCCCTCCATGCCATCCACCCTGGGTGGAGGGTGGGAGGGAGGGGCTCTCTGCCCGGGCTGTACTCCTGACATCGCTGTCTGCTTTTTTTATAGGGCTGACACTGAAGAATGGATTGCTACTATTGAAGCATTACTTTCAAAAAGTTTTGATGCTTGTCAGTGGCTGGTTGAATATTTTATTAGTTCCGAAGGACGAGAATTGATAAAGTAAGTGTCAAGGTCTTTTTTTAAGTAAGAGAAATTTGTGTCTCTTCCAGTGATTTAGAGCTTGAAACTGTTTTTCTGATCAATGTTGATTGTAAATTCTCTTCCCTGAAGTCATGAAGAAATCATTCGGTTCACTCTAAAACCATGTCTTTTGGACTAGACATGGGCACATACGTGTTCAGTGGTTGCAAGAAGAATGCATGGAGCAGATTGCCCACCACGCACAGACAAGCAGGTCCTGGACCCCACTGTGGGCCCAGGCAGTCAGGAAAGCAAGTCCCTTCCGTCGGGGACTCATGTCTTTTGGCCAGAGGTTACTATCACAGTGTTTGGATTTTAGCTAAAAGTTATTTTCCACAAATCTACTGATAGTACATTAGCCAGAATAATATATTTACCTGTGTACCTACAGTAAAAAAAATAATTTGCCTTTTTTGGTAAAAATTCAGAATACCCCATCACAGTGAATGTTTACACCTCCCTTCTAGTCATCCTCATCAAGTCTGCTTCTCTTATCCTTGGGGAGTTGAGCATCTTTCTGGAGACCCAGTGAGCGCTGTGCCGACTCTGCACTGCCTTGTCTCCCCAGGGGGCCCAGTGAGCGCTGTGCTGACTCTGCACTGCCTTGTCTCCCTTCTCAGTGGGCCCAGTGAGCGCTGTGCCGACTCTGCACTGCCTTGTCTCCCTTCTTCCCAGTGGGCCCTTCCTTCACTCTGCATCAGCCTTGCCTTTTCTTCCCCCTTCATCAGACTCCCCATGTCAACTTACCCCACTTCTGGTGAGTGACCTGGTCTCAGGCTTTCCTGGTAGGACAGATTGACAAACGGGCACCCCAACTCCCATCACAAGGTCCACACACCTACTAGAATCTCTTCTCATCTCCGCCCCCCCCCCACCCCGTGTTTGGAGGATGTGTCCTCTCCTCTGTCTACACGTGCAGACCTCCTCCCAGAGTTGGCCCTTTAATTGTCTCACTCTTTTCCTGCACCGGTACCTTGCAGAATTTTCTATCCGGTTACTTCTGTCAGCATACAGATATGCTCTGATATGATATCTCTCCACTAAAATACACAGGGATTCGGAAGCGTGAGTCCCTCCCACCAGGCAGTTGCTGGCTGCTGGCCGGTGGTGAGTCAGCCATCAGCCCCACCCTCCTCCCCTCCCCTCCCCTCTGGTGTGAGCTCCAGGCCTTTACTTGCCAATCTCCATGTCTCCTCTCTTTCCTCCTCTTTCCAGCCTCTCCGTGAAACAAAATAGATCACATTACTTCTCTGTTTACACATTCTTTAGTGGATTCCTGTTGTGTTCGTGATAAAACACAAAATCTCTGCCATCACCTGAAAGCCTTACTTCAGCAGTTCTCACGCTGTGGGTCACAATCCCTTTGTAACAGTGAAAATACATCTGGCGTTAGGAAGGTTGAGAACCACTGCCTTACTTGATCAGGCCTTTGTCTCCAGGCTTGTGCTGCCTTGCTCCCTCCGGCTTGGCAGGCTTGTGCTGCCCTGGCTTGCGAGTTCCCTGAATGTGCCGAGCTGATTTTCCTGCCACCTGTACTCCTTCCATCTGGAACACTGTGTCCTCCTCTGTGTGACAGCGAGCGCCGCCGCCTTCAGATGTCAGCTTACACACCACCTACTCTCAGGCTGTCCCTGCTCACCCAGCCCAGGAGGTCTCCCTGCCTGTTCCTCCACTGAACTCCAGCCTCTGCAGGCAGAAGCCAAGTCTGCTTGGCTCCCTCTTGTCCACACAGAGCCTGGCAGCTGGGAAGCACCCCAGCAGTCACTTACGCATGTGTGCACGTACCCACAAAGAGGGAACTAGTAAACGTTTCTCTGAAATGTCGTATGCCCTTAAGAGTTTGTTTAGAGATGACCTTTTGCCCATTTTTCCAGTTCAGTTCCAAAATATTTCCCCACTAGGACTGAGTATTTTTCTAGCTATTAGAGTGTCACAAAATCATCATCCGTGTGGAAGAAGCATAGCATACGTTTTGTTCGTTCCCTTATATCTGAGAAGGCTCACTTTTTAATATCCCCAGAAAACTCTTGTCGCTTCCTTTGGGAGTATGTTTTGATTTCTTAGTATTCCCAGTGGTCAGGAATCCAGTGGCTGGTTTCATCCTAATAAAGCTGATTCAGTCTTTTTCCTTCTTTATAAAGACCAATTACTCATCACTTATCAATGCTGTGATTTCACATGTTTGAAAAATTAATCTTTTTGTCTAATTACTTATTTCTTTAGAAACTTTAAGATATCTTAGACTGTCACTGTTACAACTAGTTCGTGCTGCACTAGTATTTTAGTAGCTGTGAATGTGACCAGGGTATTGTCTTTTAGATCAGCCCCTCAGTAGACTCCTTTTTTTAAAGGCAGTTTTTAAAATGCAATTATGATTTCAAAAAATTCCTAATAAATATTGCTTACAAATTTATCCAAAGAATTCAGACTGCTGAAACAAAGGATACTTTAGAACTTTTCTCTGTGGACAGTAGGCAGAATGAACCCTCTCCACTGCCCATTCCCCAGCTCAGGTTGTCAGTATTTTCCCAGTCTTGTCTTGACCTGTCTCTCACACACACTCCTGTGCCTGCTTTTCTTTCCCTCTGTAGTTAGTATTTTAAGGTAAATTTCAGATATCAGACAATTTTACTATAAATTTTTCAG